GTCACCTCCGTCCCAAGTCGCTTATTAAGAGCTTCATTCCACATGTTAGCTGCATATGCTGGTTGCACTCTTGTCCACATAGACATGACAGAAATGACCTGCAGAGAGTTTGCTGTCAGAACAAGCAAAAATCAACAGTCTTATCTGAATGCAAAAGGAATGAACTAGATGAACCAATGCTTGTATAGTTGTATTCCAGAAAGACAGAATCCTTACAAGCTATATAACATCTAAGTTGTACCAATTTTTGTCGCCTATTATTATCTAATGCAGTAAGTAACAGTTAAATTTTAATTTCCCATTAACTTCTGTGTTATGGGTGAGACCCAACATAAAACAATTACTAATATATGTTAGTCAGAAGGTTTCAGCAGAAAATATCGGAAGGAATCAAAGCGACATGGTCCAATAATCAGGTGATGAACCTACATCAGGTATGTCATATGATTCAAGCGAGAGCAAAGAGATTTTTTTTTCCATGAATTATTATATGCATACCAAGTGAGCATCAAGAGGTGGAGGATAATTGTCAGATACGGTGTCGATCCAACTAAAAATCATGTTGTGATAACCATACGGCTTGCCTGCCATTGTCCGAGCATATTCCCATGCTGCGGTAGAATTAAACCTTGCACGGATCTCAGGATGTATAGGAAGTAACGCTATTTGAGGATTAGAACCATCTTTAAGCGCCAATTCCCACCATTCATCCCATGGAATTATCGCTATGATTTCTTCACCCTAGAAACACCAAGAACCAGTAAGAGAAAATTGCAGGCATGCTTAGCAAATAACACCAAGAGTCATAATATTCAACTTTTTAAATTGGAAAAATCATAAAAACCAGAAAACAAGCAACTTATATATTTATATAAAAGCTCTCAAGCCTGCAGATGCAATGCCAAAACTTTTGTGAATGCATTTTTTCGCAAAATGTAATTGAAATATTTCTTTGCCATCATAACGACCAGAGAAAATTCTCACTTAAAATCCCAATTTGCAAATCTAGCTTGCCAATATCAGCAATTTTTTGGCTGATAACAAACTTGATGCTTTAAAAGCCCAAGTATTGATATGCCTTATTTATAGTTTTCTTCCAGGGAGTTTTATGACTTGTGTATTTGAAAGTAAAAATATTGAAGTATGAACACAGGCCTCGAATTGTTTTTTCTATGTCAAGTAACTATTAAACTCTACCAAAAACAAACGAAGAAACCAGTATATTCTTCACATAAAATGAGATATATTTATATACCTTTTCATTCTCATGTCCAGATTCACCAACCCAAAGATTACCCAATTCGTCTTTCAGGCATACTGCTGTGTGACCAGCAAATGCACCAGTGACCCACTTCTCCAGTGTTTCAAATCCACCCCAGCGTCCACGTATCTTTGAAACGGCTAAAAAATCGCCAGAATGAACATCTTCTGGATTGATAGTACTACGCCACGGTTGAGGACGTTTCTCAAATGATGCACCCATGTGTTTCTCCAAAAAAGCTATATTAGCATTCTGACCCCAACCAGTGTTAGAGAACAGAGGCAAGACATCTACCATGGAAAGCAATGTCCCCATCATTCCTGATGGCATGAGAAATACTGAGATCCCATGCTGCTTTACCTACTCAGTGATGTTCCAAATGTCACATTTTTACATATTGAAACAATCATTTATTAGAAGCAAAAAAAAAAATCAAAAGGCATACATATTCCAATTCTGCCTGTTCCTCCCAAGATTCAATTTTCAATGTATGGTCTCGAGCCGAGAAGTAGTAATCCCAAGTGACTCTATAAGGTGTGGCAAAGACATACAGATCCATGCACGTCCAGCTATGGGCAGCAGCAGTCTACGAGTAAGAGCAGGAGTTAAAAACTTCGTAGAATCTTAAGAACAGATTTCAGGCAGTCAGCTTAAAAAGGGAAGAAACTCTTGGAAGTATGAGGCCTGGATTTCATATTTAAGAAAATAAATACAACATATGACAATTAATCAGACTTCAGAAAGACAGTATTAAAATTTAGTTTAACCATGTACCGTTAAACTAAAGCAACCAGAAGTGAGCTCACTCCAGCTTCTAACAGAACATGATTCTAATTTTTTTTTTTTTTTTGAACAGAAATTTAGCAGAAAATCTTGTATGGAAACTGGAAAGTAAGAAACCCCCTTTCTGGCCCTGGCAAGGTTTTACACAATAGACGGAATATTAGATAAGAACCAATTCAACCAGAATGTAAATATAAGCCTGTCATTCTTCACAAGCATTTTTCTTCATTCTCATCACTAGTTCTTGCCATATTCACTAAGAATAGCAATGTTTATCCCAACACAAAAACAAAAGAAGCACAATCATACACAAAAACCAAAATTCTGCACAAACTACAAAAGATAACATGTGTGACATTCCATCCCTCATTCTGAAAAAATCAATGGATCGCTTATCAGTTACCCAACAGTACCAGAATGGGCACTAATCCAATTCGACAATTTAAGCAATCATTATCTCCAGCACAAAAGTTCACCTAACACATTGTTTAACATCAACTTTATAAAATTCTTAAGCCCAATCATCTTACCTTTTTCAGTAGCTATTGTTCAATGTGAAATATGTCATCAATGTAGTTTAGAAACCATATCCAAACCAGAAACAACTCTTTTCGTCCATTACTTACGCCCTTCAATTTACTATACTATCCATAGCTCCAAAAAAAAAAATTAAAAATTAAAATTCAACCCAAAAGTTCAACTGGCAACTTCATAATATCCTTTTATACGCGCAGAAAGCATAATTTACATATACATAGTCACAGCGTTGAGAAAACAAACCGCGAGATAGATAACGCCTCCCCCTTGGGCGTGATCACCGGGCCCCATGAACTCGATCTTGGCCTCATTATCGAAAAAGCAAGCGCCTTTCCACTTAATTGACCCATTATTCGGTGTCAATGATCCGATATACTGCGGCATCAAATCAACAGCACTGTGAATGTTATTCATCACCGGCCATGAAATCTGACGTGGTAGCACCGGAAGCACGTCCTTCACTCTGAATGGTACCTTAATTGCATACCCAAACCCTAACCCTAAAATCATTACAAATTTCAATAACCACAGCTTCCTCTCGAAATTCAACATATTTTCAGTTATAATTTAATAAAGTAAAGTGAGTTGAAACAGTAACTAATTTGATTTTCTGGGTTATGGTTTAGATTTCATTATGGATTCAGGGGGTAGACTTTTGATTATTCAGATTGGTGTGTTCTGTGGGGGGGATGGGGAGGGGTGGCCCTTTGGGTTGGATTTCTTGTTGCTGGATGTGTGGAAAGTTGGAATATTCTGCTCGGCCGCGACCGCTTGAATGGACGTTCT